GCTTCAGGGCTTACGGCCTTGGGTTTGGGGTTGAGGGTCCCCAAACCCTAAACTCTAAACCTCAAAACCCCTAAAACCCTAAAACCTTCAACCCTAAACCCTAAGCCGTAAAAGCCTAAACCGTAAAACCCTAAACCCTCAACCCTAACTCTTCGAATCAACGGCCGAAGTTGCGAGCTTCGTCGTTTCGCTTCTGGATCCTGCGGAGGGGCGCTGCGTCTGGCCAAGTAAGCTCGGGGCTAAACAAATAGGGGCCTTAACAGTTAGGATACGTTGCTTTTGAATCTCGAGGCTTGAATATGGGGGCCTTAACAGTTAGGATATGTTTTTGTTGGAAGGTATCTTGGAATGATTTAACTTTCGAGGGTATACCATAATCATCATAGTGAACCCTCAGGAACCGTAGCACTGATTAATGTAGGGGCCTAAATAATTAGAATAGGGTTTGGGGGCCCGTTATACTATAAATATAATAAGGAACCCCCAAAATAATGTAGGTAATTATTGAGTCCCCTATATTATTCGGGCCTAAAAAGTCTGGGGGTTCGAGCAGTGCTTTTCTGTAAGAGCAGGGCGGAGGCTCTAAGCACATCGAGGCACGAACAAGTCGAACCTTGCGAAGCCACCCTGCCAGGAGGAGGCCTATGCTGGGGATCCCTGAAAATAGCCGTAGTTGTAGAGAGAAAAGGTATCTGGAACAGATACGACCGTAAGCCCTGCCGTGCTCCCATGGCCCCGCAATAGTTATGAATATGGTAACAGCGACACTCGTGCTGTTCCGACGGCCGAGACTACGACACCGAAGACGCCGACGTCGACGACGACGACCTCCACCACCACCACCACCGCCCCGACTCGAAGGACGACGACGACAAGGGTCTTGGCTGATACTACTTCATGAACTGACTGCATTTTCAAAGTTCTGAATTTGGCGGCAGCAGCAGAAGGAGGCAAGGCCCGCAAGTAACGACGCAAACCTACGCACGCCCCCCCCCCCCCCCCCCNNCCGCCCCCCCCCCCCCGCCCCCCCGGGCGGTCAGAGGAGCGAGCCGCGGGATCGCCGAGACCTTGGCATGCAGATTTGGGTCTCGAAAAGACTCGGAAGGAGACTCTCAGTAACACTCCTCCCTGGCATTGCGAGTTATGATTGCTCCTCTTGCACCATGAGAAATGTTAGCGCTGCTGCGCTTCTGAGTTTGAATGAACAGAATAGCTTTCCGTCGTATTGCTAGCATTACCCGCATCTCATGTTGCTTCTGTGGAAGCTTTGCTTGCAATGCTTGCTGCTACTGCCACTGCCACGATGACGACTCTTGTTCTGACCGCGTCCGACATGCAAACACGAGAACGAAGTAGTCTCGTCGCTTCCACATATGACCTACTGCTTGCTACTATCTTTCGCTACAGGCTATGTATAGCACACTACTTGCATCTGCTTGTTTCTAACAAACACGTACTGGTGCTTTTCAAAAGACGGATAGTTCAACAGACTCATCTGGCACGGTCAGTCATTGTTGCATTGCTGCGCGGAAGCAAGCATGCCAAACAAGCAGCCGTGCACTATGCAGGCTCCGCAGGCTTAATGACCTAATGTATGTATACAGACGCAGGAGCCGCTTCGGAAAGCAGCATGTCAAGTTGGCTAACCCATGGTTGTGGATACTTGGATGACTGCTGCTCTTGTTAGTCAGCCTGTGATAGCCAAAACGAGCCTAAGACAATAATAGGGTGATACGAACCCTCAATACTTACGTTATCATGGGGAAGTTTGTGATATAATGATTCAACCCAATCATTCTGTGACGTCTTGAAACAACGGTATGAAATACAAACAACACATAATACTTTGAGCACCAGTGGATCCTATGTTTGAGTTTGGGATCTTCGTACTCCTCCTCGAGACCCTACCTTGGCTCTCCTGCTCGTACTCCTTCTCCCACTCCCACTTCTACTCCTGCTCCTAGTGCTGCTGCTGCTGCTGCTGCTGCTACTGCTGCTGCTACACTTGCTTCTACTCTGACTCTTATTCCGGCTCCTCCTGCTCCTGCTCAAGCTCCCGCTCCATCTCCTGCTACTACTGTAGTACTTCTATCGCTGCTACCGTTCCTCCTCCGCTTGTCTGGGTTCTTGTTGTTGTTTGCTCGTTGCACCTGACATGCCCACTGTACCTCACGTAGATGCCTCAGAGACTAAACCAATTTGCTGTCTAGTACCACGCTGGCTAGTGTGATGCTTACAAGCGCAGGGTTTGAAGCTTAAGAGTTTGCGGCTTACGTCTTCACTTTAAACTCCAAACCCCCAAACCCTGAACCCTAAACCCTAAATCCTAAACCCTAAACCCCGAACCCCGAACCCCCAAGCGCCGCAAGCCAAGGACCCGGACCGCAGTCTTCAGAGGCTCTGCCTGCCGCCGCAGCCAGAAGCTCCCACCAGCCACATAGGTCGCAAGGTCCTACTTGGAGGATCTTGGACTTAGGGTTTAGGGTTTAGGGTTTAGGGTTTAGGTTTTTTTTTTTTTTAAGCGCCTCTTTTCCTCTAGGGTTTAGGGTTTAGGGTTTAGGGTTTAGGGTTTAGGGTTTAGGCTGAAACAGGAGTTACAGGGGTTCCTTTCAGGGTTACCATAGGGGTTACTGTAAGGGTTCCTTTCAGGTTTACCGTATGGGTTACTGTAGGGGTTCCTTTCAGGGTTACCATATGGGTTACTGCAAGGGTTTCCTTTAAGGGGTTGTGTTGTCAGTTCAGAAAAGCAGGGGCACAAGACGGGGGCACTTTAGTGCTCCTTAAGGTATGGTCCTGCCGAAAAGTGTGGAATTTGTACCCTCAACCCTAAACCCTAAACCCTAAACCGTGGGTTTCGAGGTATAGGAACCTGGGTTGACGATATCTGGCTTGCCGACATTGAGGTCTGGTCTTTTTGGGCTTAGGAATTCGCCTAGGAACTGCCGGCCCTGCCTTAAGGGCCCATAGTTAACCCTTAACTGTGGGAATTACGGTATATTCCTGATTAGTGGAAATGCAGGATGTTTTTCATCCGGCCTAAGTAAGTCAAGAAAAAAAAGCACTAACATCGCCGCCTTCGCCAACGAAAGGGTAGAGGACTACGCGGTTTCATGGGGACGGGGCTGTCCGTTGTAGCCGTGCTGGGCTCTTCGAAGCCGGGGCCCTCCGTGATGCAGCCAGTTAACCCCTGAACAAGATATGGGCAGTTTAGGGTTTATGTAGGGTTTAGGGGTTTAGGGGTTTAGGGGTTTAGAGGTTTAGGGGTTTAGGGTTGTTGTCTAGATTAGGGTCCCGTTTAGGGTCCTTTTGAAGGGTGCCGTGCTACTATGGGGACCTAAGAAGGGACCCGAAATTTTTAAAGAACTACCCATATCACGAATTCCAATAATGATTTAGCCGCATGGTAACTAGAAAGGGCTAGGAAAGAATGATGATATAAATCCTGCAGTACCCATAGTAAGGAATTATCCATATTTCCCAGAGTTTAGGGTCCTTAAGGTAACGCAGGATTTATATCACCAACAGAAGCACCGGGTGCACAGGAGTTAAAAGCGTATGGGTTGGCCGCGATGTCTCAGGATGAAGATGCCTTCAGGCCTGACCAAACCCAAAACTGTAAACCCCAAAAGCCCTAAAACCCTAAGCCCAAAAACCCTAAACCCTAAACCCTAAAACCCTAAAACCCTAAACCCTAAACCCTAAAACCTAAAACCCTAAACCCTAACCCCTAAAACACTAAACCCTAAACCCTAAAAGCCTACACCCTAAACCCTAAACCCTAAAACCGAAAACCGCTAAACGCCTACACACTGCAGCAGCCCCGGTCCTCCGCTTCGTTGAGGCCGACGTTGCCCGTGTTCATCAACAGCAGGGAGCGGACGCCTTCAAGCCCCGGAAAAGGGGTTTAGGGCTTAAGGCTTTAGGGCTTTAGGGCTTTGGAGCTTAGGGTTTAGGGTTTCGGGTTTAGGGCTTTAGGATTTAGGGTTTAGGGTTTAGGGTTTGGGGTCTTCGGGTTTTTTAGGGTTTAGGGTTTTAGGGTTTAGGATTGAGGCTTTAGGGGGAGAGGCCCGACAAAAAAGGTGGCCTTGATGATTGGAATGCGGGTTTTTCCGGTACAGCACAGTATAGTGATACCAAGACTGCAAGGGAATACAACAACATCCTGTATTTCTTCGCAACTATAGGCCCTAAACCCTAGATCCTCAAAACTCTCGACCCTGAACGCCCTTCATGCGCTAGTCTTCGTGCCATGTTGACTACCCAGCTTCTGGGAGGCATGGCGTTGTCTGCTCGTCGAAATCGAACCCAACATCCAAAACCAACTCAGCAACACGCTTTAGCCCACCCAAGGCGGTCAAAGGTTCCCTCTGTTCCCTCCGCGAACCTCTTCTCACTCCTCTTGATCCCCCTGCCAGAACAGTTGCAGGCCTTTTGCGCTGCCCTCGCTGAAGCCTGTCCAGCTCCGGTTGCCTGAGGCCCACATATTACAACGAGTGTCGGGCTTACTGCTCATTTGGGTGGTCGTGGTGATGATGGTGAAGGTGGTGGTCGGGCGATTGCACTGTTGCGGTAGCGATAGAAGCAGCAGCAGCAGCAGCAGCAGCAGCAGCAGCAGCAGCAGCAGCAGCAGCAGCAGCAGCAGCATTCGTCGTCGGAGTCGTCGTCGTACTAGTCGTAGTACTATGGTCCTAGTAGTCGAATTCGTCGTAGCAGTCGTAGTGCACGTAGCAGTAGTAGTCGTAGCAGTCGTAGTCGTAGCAGTCGCAGTAGTCGTTGCTGTCGTAGTAACCGCAGAAGTTGTAGTAGTAATAGTAGTCGGAAGAGTCGACGTAGCCGTGATATCGCAGTCGTCGTAGTCGTACTCGCAATCGTACTCCGTAGTCGCAGAAATAAAACCGTCGTCGTAGTTGTCGCAGTAGCGGCAATCGCTGCAGCAATAGCAGCAGAAGTCGTACTAGTCGTGATCGTGTTTGTGGTGGAGGTAGTAGTAGTAGTAGTAG